AAGAGGGCTGGGGAACCGCCCTTCCCTCCTGTCCCCACCTCCCGCTCCCTCCTCACACCTGGAGGTCCAAGATCACGGGTGAGAGGAGGGCATGGGCGGCCAGGCGCTTCCGTGAGCCTTGTTCCCTCAGCCATCCGTCTCTGTCCATCATGTGCCTCCATGCATGCTCTGGTCCCTGCCTTCTTCCTGATCCACCCCCCCACCTGCTGAGCTCACGGTGAGCCCGGCCTGGGGCCAGACACTGGAGGGACAGGCAGAGTAGGGCCCCACCTCGGGAAGCTCAGAGTCTAGAGACAGGCCACATGTGACGCCATCACCGGGGGACGCAGCACCAGAAGGGGGACTTTTGCAGATATGCAGCGATGCTGCTCAGGGACACCAGGTGCCTCAGGCCTGCCACTCTCTGCTGGGGAGGTCTGCGACCCAGCGGATGCCCCCACACTCTCTCGGGGTATCATTGCGCCCCAGGGGCCCTAGAGAGCAGAGGAGGTGCCGAGCCCGGGTGGCCAGGTCTGGGCCACGCCCAGAGAGAAGAGGGTGGGCTGGAAATGGGTGGGCTGGTGGGCCAGGGGCACGTCAGGGAAACTCAAAGTCACTCTGTCCTGGGGTCTAATCCCCCGTGGGGGTTAGGCATTACGGGAAGATCACAGGGCATGCCAGGGGCCTCAGAGATGCACCAGTTCAGCTCACCACAGTGGCCTTAGAGTCAGGATGGCTGGTTTAGATCAGCTGGGCCTGCCAGGTTCCGGGGTGGCCTCTCTCTGCATCTGGTACCCTTACCTGCTAAGGCGAGACGGTGACTAGGCCTCTGAGTCTCACTCTGTCACTCAGGCTGGAGTGCAGTGGCACGATCACAGCTACCGCAGCCTCGACCTGCTCAGGCATTCCTTCGGCCTCGGCCTCTAGAGTAGCTGGGACTACAGGTGCATGCCACCACACCCGGCTATTTTATTTATTTATTTATCTATTTATCTATTTATTTATCTATTGTAGAGAAAGAGGTCTCACTATGTTGCCCGGGCAGGTCTCAAACTCCTAGGCTCAAGTGATCCTTCCCAAAGTGCTGGGAATACAGGCGTGAGCCACCGTGCCCGGCCGGAAGTTTCCTTTAAGCAGGTGCTCGCAGCCTGAGTTTGATGAACAGGCGGTGTTGAGGCTCACCCAGAGCTGTGTCCTTGGGCCACACTCTGGTGTCCTGCTCCCAGGGGGCAGGGGGCAGTCTCTGAGCTTCCTCCCCCTGCCCCATCCTGTGCCCGGCACAGGTTTCAAAGAGACGGCCTTCCTGTATGCTGTGTCCTCGGCCGCCCTCACCCACGCGCTGGCCCGGGCCTGCAGCGCCGGGCGCATGGAGCGCTGCACGTGCGACGACTCTCTGGGCCTGGAGAGCCAGCAGGCCTGGCAGTGGGGTGTGTGTGGCGACAACCTCAAGTACAGCACCAAGTTCCTGAGCAACTTCCTGGGGCCCAAACGAGGAGGCAAGGACTTGCGGGCACGGGCAGATGCCCACAACTCGCACGTGGGCATCAAGGTGAGCACGCCCCAGCTGCTGGTGCGCCTTCCCGCCTGGGCGCAGAGTTGGGCCTGCAGAGTTCACGCCAGGGCTGACTGCAGGCCTCAGCTGCGCTCTCCGGGCTCCTCCTCCAGGCCAGTATGGGTGCCAGGAGCACGACCGAAGTGGGGCTGGGGTCCTGGGCGTCACCGGCAACTGACAGCATGGGCGCAGGCTTGGGAATGGGCCTCAGTGGAGCAGGGGCGTGTGTGGAGAGGTGTCTCCATAGACGGCCCTCCCTGGAGGTCCTAGAAGCCCATGTCATTTGAAAACCTTATTCTAAGGCTGGATGTGGTGGGTCGCTCCTGTAATCCCAGCACCTTGGGAGGCCAAGGCAGGAGGATTGCTTGAGCCCAAGAGTTCGAGACCAGCCTGGGCAGCATAGTGAGATCTCGTCTCTACAGAAAATTTTTAAAAATAACCGGGTGTGGTGGTGTCCGCCTGAAGTCCCAGATACTCGGGAGGCTGAGGCAGAAGGATCACCTGAGCCCAGCAGGTCAAGACGGTGGTAGCCATGAGTGTGCCACTGCACTCCGGTCTGGGCAACAGAGTGGATCCCGACTCGAAAAAAAAAAAGCAAACCCTGACCTAGAGCAGCCCCTGCCCCTCTTCCTTCTCTGGCGGGCAGGTGGAGGAGGCCAGAGAGGAGAAGGGACCTGGCCGAGGTCACACAGGAGTGGGTCATGATATCAAGGCCCGTGGGGGCGAGGAGGCTGGGAGGGGCGGCACGGCGATGCTTGAGGAGCTGGGAGTCTGTGTCCCGTGTCCTCACCACAGAGTTGTGCAACCCAGGGCTGCCGTGTTCAGTTGTGTGTGCTGTCTATTCCACAAGAATGCCGGTCTGAGGGGAGGAGCTGGGCCGAGACCCGGCTGCATGGCCCTCACCAGGGGCACACGCCAGCTGCCCTCTGCCCGGGGTTGGGGAGGCTGCACTAGTTTGCACCAGGCGCCTGGCAGCTGACTGGGGTCCCGTGTGCCTGCTCACACAAGCCTCCCTGCCTCCCTCTCACCCTTCCATGTCGCCCTGCCGGGGCCGGCGCGTGGGGACCAGTGGGTGCCACCGGGCCTGGCTTCCGACCGCGCCTCCACCTGCCTCTCCACAGGCTGTGAAGAGCGGCCTGAGGACCACATGCAAATGCCACGGTGTGTCGGGCTCCTGCGCCGTGCGCACCTGCTGGAAGCAACTGGCCTCCTTCCGTGACACGGGCCAGGGACTGAAGCTGCGCTATGACTCAGCCGTCAAGGTGTCCAGTGGTTCCAACGAGGCCCTGGGCCGCCTGGAGCTGTGGGCCCCCGCCAGGCCGGGCAGCCCTGCCAAGGGCCTGGGGCCTGGGCCCGGGGACCTGGTCTACATGGAGGACTCTCCCAGCTTCTGCCGGCCCAGCAAGTACTCACCGGGAACGGCGGGCAGGGTGTGCTCCCGTGAGGCCAGCTGCGGCAGCCTCTGCTGCGGGCGGGGCTACGACACCCAGAGCCGCCGGGTGGCCTCCTCCTGCCACTGCCAGGTGCAGTGGTGCTGCTACGTAGAGTGCCAGCAGTGCGTGCAGCAGGAGCTGGTGTACACCTGCAAGCACTAGGCCCCGGCCCGCGGGCCCCGGAGGACCGCCGCAGCGTGTACAAGCCCTCCAGCAGATGGGAGGCATGCCTGAGCGCCCTGCTCCCCGCCGGTCCCCGCCCGGCCTCAGCCTCTCTCAACACTGCAAAGAGAAGCCAAGCTGGTGCGGTGGCTCACGCCTGCCATCCCAGCACGTCGGGAGGCCAAGGCGGGAGGATTGCTCACGCCCAGGAGTTCCAGGTCCTGCCTGGGCAACATAGCAAGACCCCATCTCTACAGAGAAAATTTCAAAGTTAACTGGATATTGTAGTGCACACCTGTAGTCCCAGCTACTCAGGAGGCCGAGGTGGAAGGTCACCTAAGCCCAGGAGGTCGAGGCCACAGTGAGCTGGGATCGTGCCACTGCTCTCTAGCCTGGGTGAAAGAGCAAGACCCCGACTCAAAAAGGAAAAGCCTCAGCCCCGAACCCAAGGGTCCACAGCCTCGTGGGGAACCTGGTGCAGGAGGGCAGGGGGGAAGGACGTGGAGGGAAATGGGGAGACCGAGAGGATGGCAGGATGGCGGCGTTAAGGGGGAGGGGCTCCTCCGCCATCTTGGTTCCTGGGATGAGTGGCTGGCAGTTGGCAGGCTCTGGGTGGTGAGCTTTCAGTCGGGCACCAAGGGAGGCGGTGCCAGCTGGAAGTGAAGGCAGGGGTCTGGCTGGATGGATCCGTCGGGGCCCCTGCCTAGGCTGCAGTGAGCTCCGGGCACCTCACCCCTCCCCACCACTTGGCTTTCCTGGGTGAGAGGCGGGAGAAAGCCCAAGGGGTGGAAGCCACTTTTCTGGGGAAAGGAAAGCGTCCTGGGCTGGAGTGACCCAAGTCAGACCTGTGCCTGGAGCCCTGTGTCCCAGACCCGGCTCTTCACACATGTCTGCGCTGGGGCCTCCTTCCTGTCTCAAGAGGGTGGTTGTCCATCCCCCCCCCATCCCTCCAACACGACCCCCAGTAGGGCAGTCCCCTGGTGGTCAAAGGATCCTTCACACCCAGCCTGGAGAAGGGTGGCGGCTGCCTGGTGCTCGGCGGGCACGTGGCACGCTCTATCTCTCCGAAGCTCTTGAGTCCACTTTGGCCAGCTCCCTGTGGCCGAGGCCCACCAGGGCTCCCACGCCAGCCACGTCCTGACTCAGAGCCTGGCCAGCCCAGAGCTGCGATGCGGGCTCCATTTCTACTCTGCCGGCTGCCGCCTGAGAGAAGAGGCCTTTGCCCTGGAGTCATGGGCACCGAGTCCTGCGAAGCCTGACCACTGGGTCGCCCCTCCATGTACCAAGACCCCTCGTGTGAGGAGAAGTGACTGCTAATTTTCTTGGACCCAGTGGACATGTCCTGTGCCGCCTGCCAAGGCCCGTGTGGAGGAGGAGGAGGAGGGAGAACTGGATGCACGTGCAAGGACAGCGAGAACCCTCGAGCTCAGGACAACGACTTGGCCAAGGGTGCTTTGCTGGGGACGCTGGGCTTCCCAGAGCGGGGCGGGGCCAACCCAGAGGACACGCCCCCCTGTGGGAAGCCCTTGGCACCCCACGGCCTGCTGTGCCTGCTGACAGCTTCCTTTCTTCCTGAACCCAGAGTTGCCAACCCTCTGCAAAAACAGGAAACTTCAGAATCAGCAGATGTCTCGTCCACGCAGCTCTAGGAAGAAGGCCTGGGGCTGGGCCCCAGCAAGCTTGCGAGACCCCGAGAAGGAGGGCTGCCTGGTGTCCAGTGGGTTGGGGTGACCCGCTGGGTGCTGTTAGGATTGGATGGGAAGCTGTGATGGCCTGAGCCCTGCTCGCTGGGCTGACGTGGTTGACCCAAGCCCCCGCCCCCGGCTTGGCAGGAGAAGAGGGGCAGCGGACTGGCGTTCTCTTGCTTTCGCTCCCCCCACCGCATGGAGCTGTTCTCTCTGCCATTCTGATCCATCCTGCCCCCGAGACAGACTGCACAGCTGGCGGTGCCTGGGTCACAGGATGGTGAGAGGACAGATTCTGGGGGCCACTGACATGGCTGGCCACTGACATGGACGCCCAAGTCCGTAGCACAAGCTCTGACAGCCCCTGAGCTCGGAGCCCTCCCTGCTCCGTCCACTCCCTCTCTCCTTCCTGCCCCAGGCCTTTCTCTTCCAATCACCCCAAAAGATTCACCTCAGCCCTTGGGGGCCCCGGGGGACCCGAGTGACCATGGACCCCTCATTCTGCAGTTTTAGGGGATGCACTCACAGGGTATTGTTGTCTACCTCACATACATAGATCCTAGGACAAGAGAGAATAATTTATATCGTGAAGGTATATGAGAAAGTATTTATGTTATTTATATAGTCGCTCTATTTCGGGGGCAGCGTGTGGGTTCCTGTTCCCCCCGAAGCCCTCTGCCTGGAGGGCTGGGGCGAAGGAGTGGGTCGGATGGGCTCCTGGGTCCCAGGACAGGGCCTGTCAGAGAGCAGGTGAGCACGTGTCTCCAAGCGATGAACTGGGCTCCATTTGGGTTCGCCTTGTGAAGTCTCTGTAGTCTCCTTGCCCTTCTGGGTCTGCTCTGGCAAATGTCTCGCTCATCATAATCACTCCAGGATGACCACAGCTGGCCACTGTGAAGCACTTTTGACGTTCAGAAACACTTTTGTCCCTCCACCCTCACTTGATGTCTCCATCGTCCCTGTGAAGTGGGTGGGAACCTTAACGCGCGCATTTTACAGATGAGGCCCCGAGAGGGAGGGCTGTGCTCCAAGTCACACAGTGGTTATTGATCGAACATCCACGCGGGTCAGGTGCTTCGCGAGCTGACCTCCCTCAGCCCGGGAGCCCCACAGCCGGACACCACCCTGAGCCTGAGAACCCGGGGAAGCGGCCTCCTCCCTGGCCGTGTGGGATCCTGGTCTTTTGGGTATGGGCGGTATGTCGGCATGTCCCCCACGTGGAGTCCCAGGTCCCAGGGTTGGGCCTGCCCGAGAGGGCTGGAGAGATGAGACCCCAGGAAGGCCACTGTACAGGGTCCTGTCCACATAGTCTGAGAAGGTTGGGCTCTACCACTGGACCCCGCCCAACCCGTGGATGAGTTTCGTCTGCGCTCATTTGTGTTTTTCTTTTGACAACGGACTGTGCCGGGCAAAGTGACTCACGTCTATAATCCCAGCGCTTTGGGAGGCCGAGGTAAGAGGATTGCCTGAGCCCATAGGTTCGAGACCAGCCTGGGCAACTTGGCGCGACCTCTTCTCTACAACAAATCAAAAAATTAGCTGGGCACGTGCCTGTAGTTCCAGCTACTTGGAAGACTGAGGTGGAAGGATTGCTTGAGCCCAGCAGGTGGAGGCTGCGGTAGCCGTGAGCATACCACTGCACTACAGCCTGGGCCACAGAGGGAGACTCCAACTCAAACAAACAAACAAACAAACAAAAACAAAAAAAAGAAAGAAAGAAAAGAAAAGAAAACGAACTATTTCCCTGGGATTTCTGGCTTGTTTTGTAAAATCAGCACACCGGCCATGGTCAGCTGGGGTGGGACGCTCTTCTGGACAGAACACAGAAGGCTCCATGTTGCCGAGCAACCCTGCCCCAGCCCTCCTCACCCATGGGTGCTACTGCCTGGCCTTTGCCGTCCACCCCCTGATGTAGAGAAGCCCCACTTCCGTGGTCTCCTCCAGTGCCCGGTGGACAGACCGACAGGCAGAACTGTGCCGGGCCCAGAGATTGTTTCTTGTTGCTGACGTTTCTTTCCTCAGCCACCGTGAACTTCAAGTGCATTCTGTGTCTGCACACGTGGGGAGCCACCCCTTGCTAGGCACCCATCATGCCCATTCCTCTGGCCAGCAGTGATTCTGGAAGCTCCCAGAGTGCCCAGCAGCTCCCTGGGTGCCGGAGCACAGCTGTGAGCAGGCCCCAGCCCTCGCCTCGTGGGCGTGAAATAAACCCCATGCCGGCCATTTGTGCTTACGGTGTCTCGATTTATTGCAGGACGCTTGCCCATGGACCGACCCCCCTTGGTTGGGGAAATGGAGGTTTTGGGAGGTGTACGGGCCCCTCAGTGTTATGAGTGCTTAAGCTGTGGGACCTGAGTTGGAACGTGGATCTGCTGGCCTCCTGAATGGGGGTTTTCCCCTCCACGCTGAGGGCGGGATGGATCGCCCCCATTTATGGATTCTGGGTAAACTGAGGCCTGGAGGAAGGCGGTCACCCAGTCCGGGCTACGCAGCAGCTCAGTATACGGCCGGGTGGGAGCTTTCAGGGAGCAACGAGAGGGACAGCCACACCACGGACCCCTGCTCTGGCCACTGTGTCTTCCCAGCATGCTTTGGGAAGCCACAGCTCTGGGCCTCTGATGGGGGAAGGGCCCACTTCTGAGCAGAGAGAACTTGTCTCTGGGCTCAGGCCTGCCCTGTCCAGGCCTTCAGCCCTGCTGAGGTCTGTGCTGCCTTCCCGGGGGGCCCCAGCCCAGCCCAGCGGGGCCCTGCGTTGCCACCCGCGTCCCTGTCCTAGCATGTTCCTTCTGCCCAGTGGTCCTGGGCCCAGAGGCAGGCAGTCTCTGAGCAACGACAGACATGTCCATGCACACCTGTCGCGGCAGCTCAGCTCACCAAGGGGATCCTCCCGTTTCCTCCCCTGAGTCTCACAAGGTAGGCGACCTTCTTCCCTTTTCACAGACAGGGAAACCAAGGCACACCATGGCTAGGCAGCTCACTGAGGGCCATGTGCCACGTTGCTAGTAAGTGGACCCAGGTCTTTTGCCGCCAAGCCCTGTTCTTCCTATCCCACGCTGCCTACGGTTTCTTCCCACCCCCTCTGCACCTCAATCCGCTCCTGCCCACCGACAGTCCCTAAGCAGGCCTCCAGGCTGCCCTGCCTCCGGTGCTCCATGCCACCATCTTCCAGGGCATCAGGTCTTGTTGAGATAAGCTAGGAGGATGCTGTACTCATGGGATGCCCCCTAAAAAACAGCGATACTTGCCATCCCTCTTGGCATGTGTGTGTTTATTTTGTTTGACCATTTGCAAGAACTTTACAGATACCAAAACTCT